TTTCCGCCACCAGTGCATAGTCCACCAAGCTGGTGCAGTAATTGTGTCTTCGTGCTTTTTTCCTAGGTGGCATCTTCTTCGCAAGTTCTTCGGCGAATGCTATTGAGCCTGAAGAACTTCTCTTGAGGACCATATCCAGTCACTGAGCATAGACACAAGCACAGAAAATAACACTTGGTTCCAAGTACAAACGAAGCACCTAGGCGGAGAGCCGTGAATGCCAAACGAGCAGCGTCGGGTGACGGCGACTGACTGCGGTGCACCCCTTCGACGCCTGCATCGCTGCGGTGTCTGGTCGTAGCTAGTCGTAGCGAGATGATCTTCACTTCAAGCAAGAAATCTTGCCATACCCTAGTCATGATATGGGTGCAAGTGTTCGACGACGTGGGCTCTCTCACGTTGGTGCAGTTGTCATCAAGAAAGGTACATATCAGCAATGTTTGGCGTTTGAGGCTGACACTATGACGCATACTTTATCTAAACATAAATTTATCGGTCTGCGGCTACAAACATTTTCGTTGACGTTGCTTAGATGATGTAACCATTCAGGCCTCGCATTAAATGGCGTTACTAACTCTTCTGTTGTGTATGAAAACCTATTTTTGCCCTAATAAAATACATTTTCAAAAGGACACGTGCCTTCTGCTGATACATATCTTTCAAATTACTATGTAGAGGCAAAAGAAAATTAACTGTATACATCTACCACTTAGCATAAGCATCTTTTGCCATTCATTCTTGAGCACACTCAAATATCAGCTTAGGTTGCTCTTGTTTCAGAAGCTTTGCCCTCTTTTGTAAAAAGAAAAAAAGTTAAAAAAGCTTTACTTTTGTTCTCCTTCTGGCATTTAATACAGACTTGTTTATTTTGCAGATCACACACAGCAGATATCACCGTGGTACATACAACTAGAACGGCCGATGAGACTATTGCTATTACAATAAAGCTTTCCACAAGAGCCAAAAGGAGGCTTGTAAGGATGCACAAGCACATCGAAATGAGATTGGCGCTTCCGGGGCTTGTTTAGATTATGCATAAAAACAGCACGATCGGCGACCAGCTGATCGCAGTATAACATCAAGGATAAATATAGTTTTAGATAAAGTACGCGTCATAGTTTCAACGCGCCAACATTGTTGATATGTACCTTTCTTTGGACCCGCATACATTCGGTTCAACTTGATGACAACTGCACCAGCGTGAGAGGTCACGTCGAACACTTGCACACATATCTTGACTATGGCAAGATATCTTGCCTTTGACTGACTTGAACACTTCATTTGTAGCATCACGGTAGGTCTTGGTTGAAGCGATAATCGTCTCGCATACGTAAACGAACAGAGAACAGCACGCTTCGTTTAATTTATACGCTACCGGTCTACGGGCGTCGCAAATCTATCCCCCTCTTTTCCGCCATGCTGGATCGATCGGAGTGCCCCCTATATTCGCTCAAACTCCCCATGCTCCGACTTTATAACAATGCAAATACCTCGTTCATTGGACTTTTAAAGACTACCGAAACCGAAAGATTAACCTCTACGTCACCACCTATTTCGGAACACTTCCGAGACGAGAATGCAAAACGTAAGTTTTGGAATTTCGCGTGCATAACTGGGCACGGAATAAGTCTCACATGATGCTACAAAAAAAAAGAAGAAAAAAATGAGCGGTATACTAAGCCACCACTGCGTCGAGAAAAACTCCTTTTAGAAAAAAGTTTGGAATAATTCAACATCTCGCGAGCGTCAAGTGTGCACGCGGCCAAAAGCACGACAGAAAGCAACAATTACGTCCGACCGTTTGGCAGCCGAGCGCCTAGCCTCAGCACCCCCCCCCCCCCCCTATAGGGCACGCCCCTTACGTAAACAGATATCCGCTAGACAGGCCGAGCACGCGGCCAAACGGCCATACTTGTGCAAAAGGCCGCCGCGCCGCACGCACCACTCCAGCAACGTAAGCGAATTAAGCGCACAGCCAACACCACGCACAGCACACTGCACTGCATGCGTACAAAGAGTGAGGAGCATTTGCGCTTGCGCCACCTGCGCCCTGTCCGAAGCGGACACCGTAGTGCGCTGCGAACACGCGAAGAACGCATGACTTCGAGGAGCCAACGCCGCGTCGATGAAAGAGAGAAAGAGAAATGTCGTCTAGACGTACGAGTAAAACAAAACGAACAAAAAAAAGTGCCGACGAAATGTAGTAATATGGTGGCTGAGTAATAAGCTCTGTCGAGCATCGAATGTCGAAGAAACGATCTTCGGATGACCCATCGATGAAACAAATGTCGAAGAAACGATCTGCCGATAAAACATCGCAGTGTCGATGAAACAATCTGTCTATGAAACCTTGTTCGACAAACTGATTGCCCATTATAAAACTGCGCGTCAAGAATGACGCGGCTTGCCACATGAAAAGTGGCGCGCCCTACATGATCGAGAGCGCGACAAAAAACCACATGGGGACGGCCGCAAACCCCCAAACCACTCCAAAAAAACCAAGCAAAGTCATGCCAAAGTCAAACCAACCCAAACGAAATCAATTCAAGGACGGCTGCATGTATCAGGATAATAAATGCTGACAGTATTTTATAAAGGCCAAGATGACTGAAAAACAATGCCGGCCGATGATTCTCCCTAAATCGCAGCCTACTCCGGCAAGCACGGTCGATCAACAAAAGCAGAAGCAACTCGAGTGAGAAGAAAACTCGGCCACCGCGGCCTCTGTTCATAGAATAGCATATGACTGACAGACACCACTGTCAACAGGGATTATGGTGAGATTTCAAACCGTCGTCACGTGAAACCACCCTACCTAATATAAGCGTTTCCCCCCCCCCCTTCCCCCCCCCCCCCCACACACACACACAAAAATGTGTCGATGCCATATGTTTACTATATATACATTCTGCATAAACTTCCGTAGAAATACCTGTGGGTGGCACAAAAAAAAAAAAAGAAACGGAGGTGATATATGTGGTAATTGTTTATCTGTGTACGAATGAGCGAGGTATGCACAGCGAGGCGATGTTCTAATCACTGCGACATTGTCTGTGTAACCTGTTGGAAGGCGCGTTTCTGTTTTTCCGCCGCCCTTGTCAGCAGGCGAAAGTTAAACGCACTTTCGTCAGCTTGCATTTAGTTTCTTTCGTAATTCATCCAGGTTTACGAAATTTGGAAGAAATGTGCGGAGCATAAATATTAACATAGTACATTTCTTTCAAATTGGATTAGTGGCTCAGAAGTGGCGACTCACGCGAAGACAAACCAAAGGCTTGAGAGAAACAAAAGAAAAGCACAAAGAGAGCAACCGGCAAGCGTGATGACCTGTGAGTGTGATGGGCGTGAAGACCTGTGAGAGGACCGTGAGGACCTGTGTGAGTGTGAGGACCGCGAGGACCTGCGAGTGTGAGGACCGTGAGGAGCTGTGAGTGTGAGGACCTGTGAGTGTGATGAGCATGGTAACCTGTGAGTGTGAGGACCGTGAGGAGCTGAGAGTGAGTGCCGTGAGGACCGTGATGACCTGTGAGTATGAGGACCGTGAGGATCTGTGAGTGTGAAGACCTGTGAGTGTGAGGACCGTGAGGAACTGTGGGTGTGATGACCTGTGAGTCTGATGATTCGTGATAACCTGTGAGCGTGATGACCGTGATGATCTGTGAGCGTGACGACCGTGATGATGACGGCGAGTGAGTTTTGGTTTTGCGTTGAACCGTGAGGGTGAGTCCGGGAGATGATCCTATTTTGAATAAATCGTGATCGTGAGTGGGCGTGAGTTCTGATTGAGGAAAAAATGGTGATCATGCGTTTGAGTGAGGACAGCTTAAAATGCCGACCTATGCCGAGGAGTCGCGTATATTGAGGTTCCCCCACGTTGCACCAGATGGAACAACGCGTCCGGAGAGCACCGAACCGGGCGCGTGTCAGGTTTCGTTTTCGCGTGCCTCGCGCGCCTCCGGACTCTGCGCCCCGCGAGACCGCGCGCGTCCCCGCTGAGCGTTGGAGCGACCCTCCACAATGTAATCCCGGCCAGCCACACGGGCTGAATATATACTCTAATAAAGTTGCGTTCTTACGTATCAAGGACTCAACAGTGGGGTTTTGTTGCTTCTGGTGATTGTAATGACCGCGTTGTAGCTGAGTTTGAGACGTTTCCAATTTTTTTTTTGTCTTAATTCTTTTACATTTTTGTTTTACAGCACCAGACTCCGGTTTCCATCATGTTCAAGAAACAGCAACAGATAGCCCAATGGGTCACAGAGTTCACCGAGAGCTTCACTACTGTCTTTTCTTGATTTACTTTCTCCAAAAAATAAACAAGACCGGCGCTTACCGAGCAATGATTTGATCAACTTTCCGGATAAAGGAGTCATTTGCCCTTTTATCCCTTCTTGTGTGATGTCTGCGGAATACAAACCCGAAGACAATTGATGGATCATCTGTACCCCTTGTGTATTGAAGCTAAAGCAGGACACTTCCCTCATTACTTAGAAGATGGCAAGATAAGGGAAAGGGAGTAAGAGTTAGGGCTTCTCTTCATTCCATGTGATCTTGACCTTGCTTGGATATTATAGACGAATTACATTTTGGATTATTTTGGTGGGGAACAAAGGTGCCCTTTGTGAAATAAATATTTATATAACAGAAGGATGCCATTTTGGAAAATTACGATATCGGTAATATGCAAAATAAAATGACATTGAGGAATATTTTTGAAATTCATGATGATTTAGGAGCCGTGAATATGAAAGTTTTTCATGGTGCTTTACGTCTGATAGACTTCGGTGTTATAAGTAAATTTTTTATTGTTTGCTGAACGTAATCACAAAAAATTCAGATCTACATCTTATGAAAATACTTTGTAAACAGCCTATACTTTTTGCGAAATCGTTATTTTCTGCATTCAACTGAAACTAAGCTTCCGCCCACAAAGAAAAACCGTATCCTGATAAAGGTTTATGATATCAGCGAAACTGAGGTGAAACAAATTGCACACTTACCAGGACAATGTTATCGGGGAAGGCTCGAAGCTGTTCCTTGGCCAGATCGTAGAAGGAGCAGCACGGTATTTCGCAGGCCGGAAAGAGGGAAGAGATGACGCCGTCTTTTATCGGGGCCTTCATTCCGGAAGCTGGGGAAATAATTAGTTCATTTAGGTGACAACCCTTGGTATACGGGAAATAAGTTGTGTAATTGGTGTTCTCAGCTAATAGGGCAGATATCTCGATTCCTTGGTGTGTCCTTGCACTAAACGCTATTCCTTAAAACTTTACGGATTGGCCATTTTTTAGTAAAATCTGCTTGTTTTGGCCAATTAAGGGTAAAATAGGAGATAAGCACCGTTTCAGCGTTTAACGATTTTTATTTGCAGTTTATAGACATTTTTCTGCTATTGCGAACCAAGCAGCACTACAGTTGGTTCAAGGCTTGAAACACTTTCCTAATATTAGGCAAATCCGACAGTTTGACAGGTTATCTTCATTGAGTCAAAATCATTGAAGCAAAGCAGTCATTGAAGCAAAGTGAAACAACTTCTCTATTTCGGAGTCTTCGTTGTGCATAGAATATGTAAACATTATGAACAAATTTATTTTGTTTTCGTTGTTGATCTTCAGTCTCATCTAAGTTACAGCAAGTAATTCATTTATGTGTTTGAAATTTTGGAGTTTTTTCTAAAAAAGTAGTCGAACTATTTTTTTTAGGAAAAGCTGAGGTCAGTTTGTGCAATAATCATGTTGACCTTGTTCTCAAATTCATGTTATTGTTTTCATAGTCCTTGAAACGTTCCTGTGTAAGCACACCTCTTCGCTTCAAGTTATTTGGTTTGCAGAAGCAGTTTCAAGTTATGTGCGGATAAAAAAGGTGCTTTCCAAGTCAGCCTAAGGAACCACAGTTATAGGGCAGCTCGAAAAGAATTTTAAAGGATACCGAAGATCACATATAGTAAACTTAAAAAGGCATAAGGATTGGGCAGTGATATTTGCACCGAAGTGCTTACAAGACATTTAATTGTTTGAAATAAAGGCTGTAGAACAGACCTGGTCTCAAATTTCTTTGAGTGTAGGGTCAGATAACACACGCCCAAAATGTCGCGGACCAACGTAAGGGGGGAGGAGACAAAGATATTTTATAGAAAAAAAACCTCACGCTCTTTGTGCTTTGCAAACACTCAGTCTTCCAAGTAACACATTTAGCTTTCATTTGTCTGTAGGACTATTTTGGGCCCTTAACAAGAAATAAATGGCAACACCCACCAACGTGTTGGCATTTTGTTTAATAGAACTAGAGAACTAGCACACTGCCATTCCCGTTGATCAATTCAGTTGGAAATATTATGAGCTTTGTATGCCTCAAAATAAAATCTCTTTATACGACAGTTCTTGCTATCCTAATGAATTTTAGAGCAGCAATATGGAAAGTACCTTTATTACTCTACCAGCTTACTCTATCAGACAGCCTAAATAACAGACGCCGGGACGTACGAATGAATTATGATAAACAAAATATCGACTATCGAATGACTGCTTTTCCTAATATGTTAGAAAACATATGCAACTGCATGTGCCTGTTGTGAAGGAAGAAGTAAACGTGCTGGCAGCGCGGGCTGCACGCACTTGCACTGGGACTGGCATGGCGTCTGGTTGGATTATGGCAACTGGCGACGAGAGATAAACTAATATATTGACGCTCTGCCGCGACGAAGATATCGAGGAGAGGTACCTGACAAGATGCCGGCCATCGGGAAGCTGGAAGCGTTTGATGCAAATACAACTGAGTTTGCAGAATACCAGGAGCGTGTTCTCCTGTACTTCATGGCCAACGATGTTGCCGAGGAAAAGAAATCGGCCGTATTTCTGACAAGCTGCGGGACAGCAACATACTTACTGTTACGAAGTCTGCTCGCGCCAACGAAACCAGGGCAGGCGACGCTCACCGAAATCTTCGCAGCTCTCAATGCCCATTTTAAGCCAGGGTATCGGAAGTTGTTGCAAGCTTCAAATTCTTCTCAAGGCGACGGCACGAAGGCGAGGGTGTCAGTGACTATGTAGCAGCGCTAAACAAGTTGGTAGATGACTGCGACTTTAGCACCACGCGCGACCGCATGATGAGGGACCAGATAGTGTCCGGTATCAACGACACGGGAATGCAGACACGCTTATTGGAATCGTCAAAGCTGAACCTTGAGTCTGCCAAGCAACTGGTCATTGCAATGGAAGCCACAAGAAAAGACGCCAACACGCTCTGTCCTCAGGCTGAGTCAGCGGGCGCAGTGGAGCCCACCAACTCTGTGGAACCTCCCAGACGGAATGCGGCTAACGCAGTCGAGCGTGGCTGTGATCCGTGTGAAGATAAGCATCAAACGTCCCGGTGTCGCCACCGGGCAAGCATCTGTTTCAAGTGTGGACGTCAGGGGCACATTGAAGGGCCTGCAGAGCGACACCGACTGGCACAAAGAATCGAATGAACTCTCGCTCTGTGCACCAAATGGACGACCTCCAGGAAACACAACCCGAGGTAGACGAGTGCGCCATGTGGTCGCTGCGAACAACGGGACCCGGGCCCTTGCAGATTAAGGCCATCGTGAACGACGTGCCACTAGTCATGGAGCTGGATACCGGCGCCACCGTTTCCATCATCGGTGAGCAAAAGTTCAATGCACTGTTTCCTAGAACGCCGTTAGAACACTCCGAAGTGAGACTGAAGAGCTATTCGGGAGAGATCTCATCGGTTCTGGGGAAGATTACTGCAGCAGCCAAGGTGGTAACACGCGAGTCGACACTGCCGTTGTTTGTGGTGAAGGGGACATGTCCTACACTGCTGGGCAGAGGCTGGATGGAAGCATTCAAGATTACTATTTCGAAGCCTGAGGGGGTGAATGCGGTCCGTTCTGTCACAAGCCTAGTCGAACAATTCAGCGAAGTTTTTTCAGATACGCTTGGAACAATGCAGGGTGTGTCGGCAAAGATCATCTTGAAGGAAGGGTCAAGACCGAAATTTTTTAATGCACGATCAGTGCCATTCGCACTCCGAGTCAGTAGTAGAGGAACTTCAGCATATGCAGCGCGAAGGCATCATACGCCCTGTCAAGACGCCGCAGTGGGCTGCACCCGTAGTTCCTGTTGTCAAGCAAGATGGCCGCGTACGCCTTTGTGGCGACTTCAAGATCACCATCAATCCAGCGACGGTCAGCGAAACCTATCCAATTCCTAGGATTGAATAGCTGTTTGCGAAACTGACTAACGGGGTGAAGTTCACCAAGCTCGACTTAAAGGACGCGTATCAACAAGTCCAGCTGGATGCACAGTCACAAGAATTGGTCACGATCAACACTCTGAAAGGCCCGTTCACGTTTACAAGGCTTCTGTTTGGCGTGGTGTCCGCCCCCGCCTTGTTCCAGCAAGAAATGGACAATCTCCTGCGATCTGCCGCACGTGGCGGTCTATTTCGGTGACATTCTTGTGACCGGCGCAAGTGACGAAGATTACTGGAATAATGCATGCCGGGTCCTCGAGCGCCTTTAGGAGGCAGGCCTTCGCTTGAAGCTAACCAAGTGCGAGTTCATGAAGGAGCGTGTGGAGTATTTGGGGCATATTTTTACGCGCAATGGGTTGCATCCGCATCCCAGCCCTAAGAATGTCGAGGCAGTAGTCTTGGCCTCGAGACCGCAGGACGTCAAAAGCCTTCAAAGCTACCTGGGCCTTATTACTTTTATCACAAGTTTATTCCCCGACTTTCTGCACTACTGCACCCGCTGAATCGTCTGCTGGTTTCGGACGTACCATGGACCTGGACGTCATCTGAAGAGGAGGCTTTCTCCCAGAGTAAGTCCTTACTGGCATCAGCAGAAACGTTGGCCCATTTCGACCCAAAGAAGACAACTGTGTTGGTCACGGACGCATCTCCGTACGGTCTCAGTGCTGTTCTTGCACAGAAGGAGGCGTCGGGAGAAGAGCGACCTATCGCATTTGCGTCGCGGAGCCTGGTTGCTGCCGAGCGAAACTACTGCCAGCTTCACAAGGAGGCGCTTGCTATGCTGTTTTGAGTGACGCGTTTCAAGCAGTATCTTTGGGGGCGTTCGTTTGAGGCGGCCACTGACCATAAACCACTACTGGGGCTGCTGGCAGCTGAGAAGCCCATTCCCGAGTCATGTTCGCCACGCATCTTACGCTGGGCATTGTTCTTGTCGGGGTATAATTACACCTTGAAGTACAGGCCTGGAGGACAAATTCCTCACGCAGACGGACTGAGTGGGCTGCCCTTACCTACAAGCGAGTTTCAGGTCGAGTGCCCCTCAGAGGTGTTCATGCTTCAAGGATGCTACCCAAGAGTATTGTCAGCCCAAACGGTTGCAGCAGCTACGAGCAGAGATCCGTGCTTGTCACAACTGCGAGCAGCACTGTGGGCTGGTCAAAGGCCGCCCTGTGGACATCCGTGGAAGCCATACGAAGCATGGTTTCAAGAGGAGCGTTCAGAGTGATTGTGTTTTACTTGGAAGGCTGAGTGGTAGTCCCCACGTCTTTACAGGCAGTTGTGCTCCAGTTGCAACATGAGAGTCATCCAGGAGTCTCCAAGATGAAAGCAGTGGCCCGGAGCCATGTATGGTGGCCAGCTCTGGATGAGGACATCAAGGCAGCAGTGGAGGCATTCCGTACCTTTCAAGAACATCAGCGAGCGCCAAGATCGGTACCAGTGGGGCCAGGCCATTTCCGGAAAGGCCGTGGTCTCGACTGCATGTAGACTTTGCTGGACCCCTAAGAAACACCTACCTGGTGATTGCCGTCGACGCTTATTCCAAATGGATCGAGGTATTTCCAGTAAGCACATGCTCGACGTCTGTGACAGTTGATTGTCTGCGGAAGATGTTTGCTATTCAGGGGCTGCCGGATGTAGTTGTATCAGACAATGGCCCGGCATTCGTGAGCGAAGAATTCAAGACATTCTTACGGAAGAATGGCATAAGACAAGTGCTGGTGCCCCCGTATCATCCCGCGTCCAATGGAGCGGCCGAGCGAGCAGTGCAGACGATTAAGCAGAAGTTGAAGAGGGCCGGATCAGGGGACCTTCATACGCAAATAGCCAGACTGCTGCTGTCATACAGGACGACGCCGTATGGAGTGACGGGCTGTAGTCCTGCTGAAATTTTGATGGGTCGGAAGCTCAAGACTGCGCTGGGCTTGCTGCGACCCGATCTTCGGACCATAGTGAACCTAAAACAGCTCCAGCAGGACGTGCGCAAAAATGGACCGTACACTAGGGTCACGGATATTAAGCCCGGAACACCAGTCTTTGCTCGGAATTTCCGACCGGCCCTAAGTGTGTGCCGGCTACTGTAGAGTCTGACCAGGGATTTGCATCGACGGTGGAACTGCCAGATGGCAGAGTGTGGGCAAGGCACCACGATCATTTCTGCGTATCACCAAGACCCCACAGTTTTACTGGTAGTGCGGAACTCCCATCAACAGCTTGTCCATGCACACTAAGTGTCGACCAGCCCCCTGTAGGCACGAATGCTGTTGACACTACACCCTCGACGACGGAAATCTTTCCGGATGTGGGCACACATTCAACTGTGATTTCCGGGGACGATATGCACCAACCCGCCCAGTCCAGTGCAACTACTGGCCTCGCAGTCACTCCGGACGCTGCTGACACCACAGCCTCGACTACGGTGATACATCAGCAGACCCCAGTTCGTCGAAGTACACGAGCGCGGAAGCCCGTGGTGCGGTTTTCGCCCTAAGCAGTGGATGAACATTTTGCTGTGCATCATTTCTGCATAATTATTTTTGTTGTGTTCTAAGAAACATTGTGCCCTGCATGTTTTCTGCGAATTTTTGTTTACTATTATATATTTCACTACTCCCCGTGAGAGGGGAAGAAGTGTTGTCAAGCAAGATGTAAACGTGCTGCGGCGCGGGCTGCACGCGCTTGCACTGGGACTTGCAGGGCGTCTGGTTCGATTATGACACATTAAAAAAGAGGACGTTACATGTCTATAATTTAAAACAACGTTGTTAGGAGCTACGTAAGGCCTGTTATCACTCGAATGTTTCAAAGAGTATTAGTGCTTCAGTTATAGAATAAGTCCTTAGCCTATGGTACACTTATTTCAAATATTAGAAGCCTGCAAAAGTGTATTGAATGTTGTAGTGTTACTAGAGCATTATATATGTGTGAATATGTTATAGACACAATTTATTTTTGCAGTTATCTTGAAATTTTTTGTTTACTGCTGGGAGCCTGCCAAAAAAACCCAGTATAATATTTTGCTCTCTGGATTATAGAACTGCAAATCTTGTCGAGATTCTGTCTGGATTTCAGGTTTAAAAATAATTTCTTTGTCTGCGATCCGCATTTCAGGTTTCCAAAACAACTCCAGTTAGATTTCCAGTTCCATAATCCAGGTAGTGAAAAGTTGTACTGAGGTTTTTGGTAGGCAGTCATCTACTAGTTTCCATACACTAATCTTTTTTTTTTAACAGTATTAGAATATGCATAACTAGGATAGTGCCAGTTTGAACTTGGAAGACGAAAAAGCGCAAAAGCAGACATAGAAGAAAGAGAGAGAGAGAGAGATGGGGGATTGGTGGCCGAGGGGGCTAGCGCACACCGGCTCGGAGTACGTGGAGCGAAAGCTCGCGCTGCAGAACCCAGAGATCCTGGGCTCAATCCCCACGCCTGCCCGTTTCGATCTAGATGAGCATCGATCGTACTGGCGTGCGGTCGTGTATCACAACTGCGTGGTGCACGTTAAAGACCCCAGGCTAGCGGTTGTACTGCGCTGGCTAAATTTATTATCTACAGCGAGTGACTCGTCGAAACTTTGAAATGGCTGACCAACTACACGCTGTCTAAATATCACCAGAACCCTAATTATTAGAGAGATAGAGATACTGCTGGACTACTAACTACGATTTTAATGACTTTTTCCTCTTCTTGAACCTTGTCTATCTGCTTGTTCTTTTCTTCTTATCCTGAGAGCCCCATATAATCTTATACAATCCAATGATGAAATAAAATAAAATAAAATGCATTGAAATGAGAGCCACATACCTTCTAAATACAATCCCAAGTAAAAAAAGCACACTTCAGCAGGGCGTGGCACACCGCGAATACTGTTTTTCTTTTGTGGTGAGCTTGAACGAAGGCAGGCTGAGGCATGTTTCATTATTTTACACGATAGCCATGACCTCGAGCATCTCTTGTATATGCGGGTTTATGTTTTTGCGTTGTGCCAAATCGCTCCAATCTCGATGTAGATTAAGGACGACACTGAATTATTTTAACAGTATCGAATCAAGTCCAACGCGTCAGCTGCTTTATGAGTGATTAGGTGGCAAGATAGAATAGTTGGTATAGAGAAGAAATTGCTTCCATAGCCTTAAATAAACTACAATTAGAAATGGGTGACACTTACTTCTTTTGTTTAGCACCGCGCGGTGATTCCCTCAATTACAGGTTCTAAGCAATCACCGGACAATGTGCTAGCACGATTCACGGGTTGTGTCTGACTGAGTCAGCCTCGGCAGATCGGACTGTCGTACTAATCGCTATCTTCAGTTTGTTCCTTCCTACTTCAAAGCAGCGTCGCTGGCCCTCCCCGCCCCACCACTTGACGTGGCGTGCAGATAGCTAAATGTTTGATAAGATTCTAGAGCAATATTTTCTCGACCAGTGCAGCTCAAAGATCACACGTTTGCGGAACTAAAAGTTAAGGAGAAAGCTAGCTGGTGATGGTCGAACATGTCTTAAAGAAAACCCCGTGACTGAAAAAACAAAAGGGAACGAAGGACGACGCAACCACGCAGCCTGAAACACAGCTTGATTTATTTTACCGAAGGTTGAGATTTATATAGGGTTCAAATTCCCTGTCAAATAAAAGAAAGGAAAAACAAAAATTGTTCCGAGACAAACAGAAGAAACAAAAGTATGTTGGCTGAACCCTGATCAACATGCTAACCTAGGAGCGGAGAAAACGGGACAGACAACACAAAGCTCGTGCACTGTTCCGAAATAAACAGAAGCACCAAAAGGAAGTGGGGTGGAAATTTATTTTACATGCTTACTCGGGAGTTTTGTGTTGTCCGTCCCGTATACCCCCCTCCTGGGTTACCAAGCCACCTGTGAATCTGCTCGCTGGCACTCTTTCTTGAGATTCAATAAACCTTATAATTTCACTTAATAGTCTGCCAAAGACCCACAAAAGAGAAGCGAAGCTAGTGGGCCAACCTTGCTCGGAAAAACGTCAAGGAGGACTGTGGACTGAAATTCCAGAACGTCGTGCAAACTAAGAGGGACGTACGGTTCGAGCGAACATACTCGTAGACTTGACTACGGGCAACTGAACATACAGCAACAGCACCTTGCCCGACTAACAAAACAATAAAATTTGTTAAAATATATTACTTCCCTGTTTAAACTAAGGGAACGTGTATTTTGCGCATTGCCGTGATTCCTAATAGTTTGTGATTTTTTTAGCGCGCGGAGAAGAAAAGCTCGCAACGAAACCGTCGAAATCGGTGAAACGAGAGTCTGCTCAACTCTAATACGTTGACTGTTCGGTTAGACGAAGTGCTAAGGCTATCCTGTACTTTACTAGCAGGCAAACATTTATTTTAGTATAGCTTATACATGTCACTGGTCGCACAAATATTTTTTAAATGATACCTATGAGACGGTAATTGAACTACAGCTGGGAGATAATATAACCTGTCTAGGAGGCTACAGCTTGATCACCGTTTTTGGAGTGTATGTTGCGTTTAGTATTCGTTGCCGGATGTTCACATTTCACCATTTGAGAAAGTTTTGATGTTTTCCTTCGTTAAGCTCTTTCGATAGAAAAAGAAATATAGTTCATATCTTCAGAGTCTAGGTTACAAATTAATTAAATATGTCAACAGTCAGATGATAACGGTCTACATAAAATTTGAGCCAGGGTTGAAACAATCACCCTGCGTTGAAACGGTGTATCAGATGTATGGTGCACTCACGCCCCTGATTTTCGCTGCACTACTCTTCTAAAAAAGGTTCACCCCGGTCCCAAAATACGGGAATATTACCTTCATAAAATAAATATGGGGTTTCAATATTCATCTTTCATAAAATTTAAGTCAAGATGAAATTTTCTCTTGAACGTTAAACGATGGGTGAGCTTTTCTCCGGACCCACACAAAAAAGAGTGATTTTCAAGTGCGCTATCTTCGGTGATCATTCTCTCCTATGAGTTTCGCTCCGGCATCTTTGCTTAGGACAACCCAGGGGCACTACCAAAGGGTAGCATAATTACTACGCTGGATGACATGTTTTGACACTTCTAAATAGGTATCTTTGTTTTAACATGACGTTCAGGCACATTTAACCAGTCATTGGAATAACGTTTGGTTCGCCCACTAACATAACCCGCAATCAAAGGAAATCTCTATACTACCCACGAAACACAATTTACATATTTTTCTTTGTGTTCTTCGATCAAGTAAGTCTGAGCGGAAACCATCGGTGTCAAGCAACTTAGTTTATAATCATTTTTGAACACGGATGGATGGATGGATAAAATATAACGGACGTACCCTTTATAACGGGCGATAGCTTGCGCCACCTAGCCTAATAAAAATAGCAAAAACCTCATTTTCTGTTGCCCCTTTCAAGCCAATGCGTTTTTCTATCACCAGGCCAAGAAGATGATAGGGCTAAGCAGGCAGACGTTTGGGGGTCGAGCAAAAAAACTAAAACCATCAATGCTGCCTCCTTGCCCTGGCGAAGGAGGCACCAAGCTTCCTCTGGTCCAAGGTTGTCGACGTCAGCTAACACCTGACCGACCGGAGGACATGTTTGAGGTTTGGGCCGGAGACACAAGGGAGGGAGTTCTAATTTTCCTCGGTCCCGCGTGTCCCCCAGCTGTGGTAGATAGTTGTACTTCGTTCGATTTTCCTTAGACAATTTTTCACCAGCACTCCAACCTCCTTTTGTTGCTTCTACCCTTCTACAATCCACCCTTCTATCTTCTCCAGCGAAACCGAGGGGAGCCGGTACGTCTATCGCCCCTTCGGGAAGGGCAGGACTAAGCTCCTCACATTTTAGAATCCTATGCTTAATTGTTTCCGTCTTCCCCTTAGATATTGCGCAAATTGTATATGTGTCTTCAAATTTGGCCCCACACGTTTTCGTCCTTGAGCGCTTTCTCTCTAATTATCGAATAATCCCCCTTCTGTATTTCTGGCTTTTGTGGCCTATAAATCGTTAAAACTGACATTTCATTAATGTTTTCTCCCATATCATTTTGTCTGCCTCCATAACCGGCTTTTCCACTGAACGCGTCTGCTCCACTTCATTGCCCGACTGCAGAAATTTTATCCTAAGTCTTCGTGTAAGTTTTGTTCATTTTGTGTTCAGAATCCTGATATACAGGTATTTATAGATTTAAAGCGCCCACCGCTTGTCCCCCATGCCTGTTAGTCTTCGGTCAAAATTTATTTTTCTCACTGCCTCTGTTCCTAAAAATGACCCTGCGCTCCCTCGTTTGTAGTGTTACCATATGCCGCTAAAGCTATTCTGCCCAAACTCCTTTGTAATTTTTATTATTTTATTTATAAATACTACATACTCCAATCTGAAAATATGGTAAAGAGAAAGCCACTTCAAATATACAGAAAACAACAGTTCAACAACCGACGGGGCCTAAAAATGAACAATGGGCTCTCATGTAAATACTCCTCGAAGCATCAATACAAAGGTCAACTACGCCAATTCATATAATAGAACAAAACGATACACACAAAAAAAGAATACGCGCACTACATATCACAGTCACAGCTCACAAAAATAATACACACTGAGCAAAGGAAAAAAATTACAGGTAGTTGTTTAAGCGATTAACCAATTCTAGCAGGTTGCAAGAATGAAAAATTTCCTCGGATAACTCCCTCCCTCCCTCCCAGTCAATGAGTTGTTCCACTCATTGACTGTTCGCGGAAAAAATGAGTACTTAAAAGCATCTATTCTGCAGCTAAACTATGCGAAGGCTCTGCTATTTCGATTTCTGGAAGGATATCTTGGAGTTGGGACTCCAAGTGGCGTTATGTACAAAGATTAATTCAGGTTTACATGATCGGAACTTAGAATTAACATAAACTTCAATCTATCCACCTTACGTCTATGCTGCAATGCAGGCAAGCCTGCCTTCTCATAAAGGGCTGAGACTGTGTGAAGACGACGTTCGTAAACGGCTTGACTAAGCACTTTTAGGAAATCTTATACCCAAAATGTCATTGATTTTAACATGTAGGATATCCTAAAAATTCATCTTTTTGTATCAGTATTCGTTGAGTGTAATCTGATGAAGCATGTATTTCTATGAAAACTGTGTTTAATTTTTGTGTCATTGCTTGATGGAATTTTCAATGTACTATGTTCTCCGTCGTTATGCATTTATGAACTACTTTTGTTTAGCGTTGTATATGGTACTATTGTGTATTGTTGCCTGTAACCTGCCAGGGCCTGAGAAAGGCCTGCAGTATATTCAAATAAATAAATAAATACATAAATAAATAAATAAATAAATATATAAATATTTGTTAAAAATGAAACGGAGTGCACATTTTTGTGCACTTTCAAGTAATAAAATATTCTGTGTCGTGTAGAGATCCCATACGACCGCAGCATATTCCAGAGTCGAACGAATTAACGTCTTATAAGCGGCGAGTTTAATATCCACGCTAGCTTGTTTGAAATTTCGACGCAGGTAACATAGTTTCGACAGTGCCTTACGCACTATGTAATTAACATGAGTGTTCCAACATAAATTGTTACTAATTAGAGCTCCAATGTACTTATAGGACGACACTTTTGAAAGGATATGACTCTCCAATGCGTATTGACAAGTTAGAAGTGCGCACGCTTGCGAGTAATGTGCATGTATACACTCCAATCTAGCCTGAACTTCACAACTCATGCCCCAAGACTGTGTTACGAAAAGTCAATCCTGGGACCATTACTCCTTTTCATACTTCCCGCACCACTTCGCATCTATTAAAGTTCCCTAGCGCCCGGTGTTTCATAATGGCGGCATTCCTTTTTCCCCTACCAATTATCAGTATCTCATATTCCTCAAGGCATTTCTTTCGTTGATCCCCAATCTCAAATATTTGCATCTGTCGATCATATCTATCTTAATGTTCGCTAGCTTTAAAATATTTCCCTTGATGTAGTTAAAAAGCATAATTCCAAATTTTGTTCTCTGAATTTAAACCCGAGAGCGTCCCCTTACGCGGCGCGTATCCCAATCAATTTCTGCAACTCTCCTCGGTTATCTGCTAAGAGTACAGTATAATCTGCCTACATTGGCCTGGTCATTTCCCCCCTTTTTCGTTCTCCTCCATGCATGATAAATTGAAGCCTAATTCACTTTGCTCTACTCTTTTCTTCATTTTTTTAAGTGTATCATGAAAAGTAGAGGCGGCAGTCGTCATCCCTGTCTAAACCTCCGCCTTATTTCTGCTGGCTCTGTGCTTTCAGCCTTTCATGTTATCATTACTGTATTGTCCATGTAAACTTCCTGCAAGAGCCTCACCGA